CATAAGTAACATTTAAATGACCTAGTTTTATTCTAGTCAGATACTCTATATCATTGAATATGACATTGAATATTGAATACTGACCTGCATATTGAATACCACCATTAAGTTAGACCAACTGTAAATTTGTCAGATCAGATAAAATGTGACCGTCTGTGAAATCCAGGCTAAAGTCTCAAAATCTAATTATGAGATGACAAGCATCAAAGTTTGATTTCAACCATTAATTTCACTATGATTTCAATCTTTGACATGGCCTTACCCAATCAATATTAAAGATATAAAGGTTATATTTTCACAGAATGTTCTTTACATCTTTATGAAGGACGATTTTATGTAGAAAACAGTAAATCACAAAAATAAATAAATAAATAAAAATACTTTAGCTGGGTTTTCACAGGAAGGGTCACAAATTAGCAACTTTTGTTCTTCTGTGGAACACAAAAGGTCCAAGTTGCTTTTTTATCCCAGTACAATGAATGTGGATTTGGATAAGGGACAACCAATGTCACTATTTTGATTATAAAGCAGAAACTGAATGTGCTTTTATAGGTACCTGTTTGGACAGAAGGTGGATGGAAATGCATTTGTGGTGTTTGGTGTGATGGAAGATGAGAAGAAAACAAGTATTCCTGCATCTCTGCAAAAAGTTCAGGTGAGAGACATTAACTTAGACACCAAAAATCACATTTCTCCTCACCTAGAGGACAGTTTAAATAAAAATAGCTTTTTATTGTGTCTTGTAGACTGATGTTGCTGTGTTTCTCATATATGAATAGATCGTGAAAGGAGAGGGTACTGCAGAACTGACCGATCAGATGATCACTGACACCTTTCCAAACATTAACCAGCTGGTTGGACGATCAATCTATGTTTCAGTCAGTCTATTAACAGAAAGTGGTAAGACTCAACAGATACTGTGTGAACATGTTTACCTGCACGTGTGTGATTGTATGAGAAGCTAATCGTTTGTGTGTTTCAGGCAGTGAAATGGTGGAAGCAGAAAGGAGAGGCATTCAGATTGTGACGTCACCGTACACCATCCACTTCCGAAGAACACCACCCTTCTTCAAACCTGGGATGCCCTTCAGTGTCTCGGTATAAAACAGTTTCCGATTTTACATGTTAAAGTCTGAAAATTACTGTAATATTTGCAGATTGGCTTTTCTGGCAAAATACACAATATGCCATACCCACTGGCCAAAAGGTTGCAGCCCAGAAATATCCCAAACACAGCAATACAATTAATCTCCAACATCCCCTATTAATCCGGGCTGATCCAAGTGAAATCTGAAGCAACCAATTAAAGAGCATGTTCATGCATTATAAAATGGTAATTTATCAATAATGTTACAATATCCCTAATCCCAGATATCTTCCAGAATCATAATTAACTTACAGTTCAGAGCAATTGTTAGCTAGAAAGTTAAGAACCTAAAGGGACGTAGAAACAACTGCATAAATATATTAACATAAATTACTTTTTTGTTTTGTTTTGTTTTGTTTTTTTTGTCTGGCTTCTAAAAAAGGTTTATGTGACAAATCCTGACCAAACACCTGCTGTAAATGTGGAAGTGGAGGTCAATCCTGCAGGGGTCAGAGGTCGAACAAAAGACAACGGCATTGCGAAGGTTACAGTCAACACTCCGGGAGGATCTTCAACACTGGACATCACTGTAAGACCTGCCATCATAACAACACTGATGTTCAGTCAGTTTCACTGGTGATCTAGTGGAGAATAGATCAGTTAACAGATGTTGAACAAGCAGTGGAGCATATTGTACACAGCACATCAGAAACCAATGTATTTATTCTTTCCAGGTAAAGACCAAAGATCCAGAGATAGAAGACAATCAGCAGGCAGTGAAGAAGATGACGGCTCAGGCCTACAAGACCAAAGGCGGCTCCAACAATTACCTGCACATCGGCATTGATGCTGCTGAGCTTCAGATTGGTGATTCAATGACAGTGAATCTAAACACTGGACAAATTCCAGGAGTCAGAGGTCAAGATTTCACCTACATGGTAAATATTATGGTTATTTCTTATTCAGCTGCACCAGAAATGTATCAGTTTATCATGTCATTATGTGATGAACTACCATAGCTTGTGTTTGTAACAATATAGTGTCTTTTCACTTTTGCCTCATTTTCAGATCTTGAGTAAAGGTCAGATTGTAAAAGCAGACAGGTTTAAGCGAAGAGGACAATCACTAGTGACTCTGTCTCTGACTGTAACCAAAGACATGGTGCCGTCCTTCCGCTTTGTGGCTTATTACCATGTGGGCTCGTCTGAGGTGGTGTCTGATTCAGTCTGGGTCGATGTGAAGGACACGTGCATGGGAAAGGTGGGTCAACCATCACAAGAAATAGATGATGTACCAAACAACTAGGTCTGACTCAGTGTCTTTCATTGTCATAACAGCTCCAGCTTGAGGTGAAGGAGAAGATGAATATCTATGGCACAGGAGATGAGGTCAAGCTGCAGATAACTGGAGATCCTGGAGCTAAAGTTGGTCTGGTGGTGGTTGACAAGGCTGTGCAAGTCCTTAACAAGAAGAGACTCACTCAGACTCAGGTGAAGGATCTTTTTCAGATGTTATGGCACAATCATCTTGTTACTGTTTTTCACAAAACATACATAATTGTCTTTTTTGCTGCTGTAGATCTGGGACGTCATAGAGAAGCATGACACTGGCTGTACAGCAGGAGGTGGGAGGGACAGTATGGGGGTTTTCACTGATGCAGGTCTGATGTTTGCGTCCAACACTGCAGGAGGAACCAACACCAGAACAGGTACAATTTATTTTCATTATTTTTGAGCTAATTATCATATTCTAGATTTATTCACTGAACAATTTTATTTGTGTTTGTGCTCTGGAGAGTGTCAAAGGTTTGTTTGCAGCATTGTTTGCAGTGTTGAGCAGTGCAGCCAATTACAGACATACCTGTTGATCTCTTGAACGGAATGACCAATCAGAGGTGTTCAAGTTGACCAGAATCCACTCAATACTGCTCAAAACAAAAATAGCTTAATATGACTACACAATAATATAATTATATATCACATGTTTTACTGTGACATTTAAATATATAGCCTACTATGCTACTCAATAGTTACCATATATATCTGTGCCAAGGAATTTATATGGTACTTTATTGCTGATTCTCAACAGCCAACAGAAAACACAAAACATGACATGATTGAAAAAATATTGACATATTGAGTGTGAGGTGGCATATCTGTAATATGCTTAGACTTCCAAGTGTTCCAATGGAGGTTGCTTAACCAATTTCAAATTTAGTAATTTACCTCACTGTATTGTTATTGCAAAATCACCATTTTTTTTTTCTTTTTTTCTTTTTTGAACTACAGTGTTCACCTGTGTCATGGCCCACAACAAAGTTTTCAACATTTACAGACACTTCAATAAAAGCCTTATTAGGTATCCTTTTGGAAATTTGCCCCTGATTGAGAACCACTGTTTTGGACCTGATTTACAAACATGCATTACTACATGTGGAACCCTGAGCAATCATGATCCTTTCCTGATCATTTGTACTCAAGTTATAGAAGTCTAAGGAACAAGAATGTACAAAATGTATATGGGCAGATTTAAATATAAATTTGTACTTTGAAACATGCTCTAGATATATTTTTAGATTAGTTTTTGTCCGAAGGAGCTTGGGCCATCCTGAGCTGAGATATCTGTAAACATCAATATAACAATTTTTTTAGACCACTTGAGATGAACCAACCACTTTATTCTTATTTATTTATTTATTGTTTGTTAATCTGTTCACATCTGTTATTTTGCCCTGCTGTTCTTATTGTCTTTGGTCAGACCTTGGATGTTTTGTGTTGTGCCTTGTTGTGACTTTCCTGTTGTTTGGTTCCCTGTGTCTTAGTTGCCTGTTTTTTTTTATTTATTTGATTAGGTTTACTAAATTGATCTAACTGCTCTTGTGTTCTTTAACATTATTTTTACAGTAAACTATTTTTTTTTTTCAAATGAATTGTCCTCTAGTGCCTGAGTGTCCCGTTCGTGCAAAGAGAAAACGAAGAGCTGAGAGTCTCCTGCAGATCACTACTACACTGGGTGAGAAGGTGTACATTACTCAGATTCTGTGTTAAATATCCTAAACCTTTATTTTTTTTAGGTCAATGTTCACATTTTTAGGGTACTTTGTCTTTCCCCCCCTTCTTGTTACTGTTTTTCACAAAACATACATAATTGTCTTTTTTGCTGCTGTAGATCTGGGACGTCATAGAGAAGCATGACACTGGCTGTACAGCAGGAGGTGGGAGGGACAGTATGGGGGTTTTCACTGATGCAGGTCTGATGTTTGCGTCCAACGGTACAGGAGGAACCAACACCAGGACAGGTACAATTTATTATCATTATTTTTGAGCTAATTATCATATTCTAGATTTATTAATTGAACAATTTTATTTGTGTTTGTGCTCTGGAGAGTGTCAAAGGTTTGTTTGCAGCATTGTTTGCAGTGTTGAGCAGTGCAGCCAATTACAGACATACCTGTTGATCTCTTGAACGGAATGACCAATCAGAGGTGTTCAAGTTGACCAGAATCCACTCAATACTGCTCAAAACAAAAATAGCCTAATATGACTACACAATAATATAATTATATATCACATGTTTTACTGTGACATTTAAATATATAGCCTACTATGCTACTCAATAGTTACCATATATATCTGTGCCAAGGAATTTATATGGTACTTTATTGCTGATTCTCAACAGCCAACAGAAAACACAAAACATGACATGATTGAAAAAATATTGACATATTGAGTGTGAGGTGGCATATCTGTAATATGCTTAGACTTCCAAGTGTTCCAATGGAGGTTGCTTAACCAATTTCAAATTTAGTAATTTACCTCACTGTATTGTTATTGCAAAATCACCATTTTTTTTTTCTTTTTTTCTTTTTTGAACTACAGTGTTCACCTGTGTCATGGCCCACAACAAAGTTTTCAACATTTACAGACACTTCAATAAAAGCCTTATTAGGTATCCTTTTGGAAATTTGCCCCTGATTGAGAACCACTGTTTTGGACCTGATTTACAAACATGCATTACTACATGTGGAACCCTGAGCAATCATGATCCTTTCCTGATCATTTGTACTCAAGTTATAGAAGTCTAAGGAACAAGAATGTACAAAATGTATATGGGCAGATTTAAATATAAATTTGTACTTTGAAACATGCTCTAGATATATTTTTAGATTAGTTTTTGTCCGAAGGAGCTTGGGCCATCCTGAGCTGAGATATCTGTAAACATCAATATAACAATTTTTTTAGACCACTTGAGATGAACCAACCACTTTATTCTTATTTATTTATTTATTGTTTGTTAATCTGTTCACATCTGTTATTTTGCCCTGCTGTTCTTATTGTCTTTGGTCAGACCTTGGATGTTTTGTGTTGTGCCTTGTTGTGACTTTCCTGTTGTTTGGTTCCCTGTGTCTTAGTTGCCTGTTTTTTTTTATTTATTTGATTAGGTTTACTAAATTGATCTAACTGCTCTTGTGTTCTTTAACATTATTTTTACAGTAAACTATTTTTTTTTTTCAAATGAATTGTCCTCTAGTGCCTGAGTGTCCCGTTCGTGCAAAGAGAAAACGAAGAGCTGAGAGTCTCCTGCAGATCACTACTACACTGGGTGAGAAGGTGTACATTACTCAGATTCTGTGTTAAATATCCTAAACCTTTATTTTTTTTAGGTCAATGTTCACATTTTTAGGGTACTTTGTCTTTCCCCCCCTTAAAGAGGACAAAACAAACACAGATTCGGCCAATCTCATGTTAATCTCTTGAGCGCCTATAGAGTTGTATTGCATCCTTCATATCGCAGAAGATTCTTTAGTTTTATCAGATTTATAAAAGAAAGATACAGCTTTACGCTTCTCTCTGAAAACAGCCAAGCTCCTGGAGGCGTGCCACGGGGTGGAGCTGAAGAGCTGAAGATCACTTACGTGCGGATTGCCAGCAAAGCACAGAAATTTGATGCAGTTTAACTTACCACCTGCGTTTCTGACTCATGACTGGGATCTTTTATCGCTGGGATAGCTCCATCTTTCAGTATCAAACTATGTGCAAATCCAGCGTTGAACTGGGCCTTGTTTATAAAACATTCAACACCGAAATGATGGGAACAACCAAACATCCCTCATAGCACACATACATCATGGAGACGTCTATTTGACGTCTGCATTTATATCTGCAAGACGTATTTTTTTTAGAGTGCTTGCTCATCTGCAATACGTCTATAGAACATTTCCTATTAGATGTCCAATAGACATTTAGAAGATGTCTTTAAGATGTTTATGATTTAGAATGTATGTAAAACTGGCATCTTTAAGACGTCTATCAGATGTTTGTACACAGCAGATGCTTTCCAGATCAAGCGATCTTTAACAGACATCTTGCAGATGAACGTGTGCTATCTGGGACACTTGCGAAAAACTCCGTTGCTGCCCCGGAAAAACTAACTGCATCCACTGTTCACATAACACTGGGTTCTTTGGGAAGCTGAACAAGGTTATCTTTCCCTCACAGCCAAAAACACACTTCTTTGGAGACATTCTTCTCGAGCATGACTAGTGCAGCGCTGCCGATGACTTCCATAACTTGAATGAAGCACGTTGATAGACTGCTCTTGTTCTCGCTCTGGTTGATGTGTGCGCACTCTCTTCCGGGAGAAGTGCTCATAAAAGGAATTCTGCCCTTCATGATGACATGAAGGGCCATGATCGGAAAAAAAATAACTTTCCGAAACTTATATGAACCCGAAAGGAGTATATTTGGCACAAAAATACGTCATACGTCCAAATCATTTTTTTGAAACTTTGGCCATATTTAACATGACAATCCAACTCTTAAACAGTGTAAATAACTCAGAATGCATGAAATAGCATTAGACCTCCTCCACATTAAGTTTTCATCATGTTCTCCTATTCCCTCATTGTTCTAAACTAACATTGTCTTCTCAGCTGGTAAATACTCCGGTGAACTGAAGCAGTGCTGTGTTGATGGGATGAGGGATAATAAACTCGGCTACACCTGTGAACGAAGAGCCACATACATCATCGATGGTGAAGAGTGTGTCAAGGCCTTCCTGGACTGCTGCAACCAGATGAAAACCCGCAAGAAGACGAAGACCGAAGAGGAGGAGCTGATTCTGGCTCGAAGTAAATACATTGTGATTAAATTTGTCACAAAGTTTTAATTATGTCAAAAGAAAAGCAGCATGACAAAACCCAGACCATTGAACTCAAACCATTAGGGGAGCTGCTTGTGCAGTTTGTTTATTATGTGCATTATTAGACTGTTGCCATTCTTATATTTACTAGAGATTTTTTTTTTTCTTATAAATCGTATCTTGAGGTTTCAGTATTAAAATAATTGTCTCAAATCCTGCTTAAACAGCCACGGATGCTGCATTAGGGCTGCATGTGAGAATATTTACTACAGTGTTTAACAGTTTGTAATTGTGATAATAGTAAAAGTGGGTAGTCGTCGAAGAGAATAATTATGAAATGTATTTGTATACATTATCTATTCCCCCCCCAGCATCACCAGCTGTCAAAGAGTGAATTTACATTTTATTCAGCCCATCTGCCTTTTTTTTTTTTTTCTTTTTGCCATTGGTCTAAGCAGATACATTTTTTACTAATTGTTTCACCGAACAGTCATATTGGTATCAACAGGACTTAATTCTGTAACAGTACAAGTGGATAGTTTTTGGAAAGAATGACAAAATTCATTATCTCTATATTAACAAATTCTTGATTGAAGCGATTTGTACTGTTTTTGTATTTGATTTGACTTCATTATCTGACATGTTAATTTGCTCTAAAGGGTCTATTTCCTCATTAATTAATTATTTTATCTGTTAAAAAACAGGTGATGATGATGATGACGTTTATACAGACTCTGAAGAGATTGTGTCCCGTACGCAGTTCCCTGAGAGTTGGCTTTGGGTGGAGGTTGATCTACCCACTTCCAAAAAAGGGCAAGTAGGAGACTTTTAGACACAAGCTGTGAGTTAAAGGGATAGCTCACCCAAAAATCAAATGTAATTTACTCTCCCTCATGTTCTCTCCCCTTTAATTCATCTTCGAAACATCTTTGATTTAGTTCTATTTGATACTATCAGATGCCGACACTGAATTGTTTAACTGAATGAAGCCACTGCATTATTTGCTGTAGATGTGCTTTATTATTGTTACTGAATTAATGATTCCTGGGTGAAGAAATGTATGACAGTGACAGATTCTTCTGTTTGTTGTTGTTGTTTTATACTGTAAAGCTTCTTTGACATTATAAAACTTGACTTAACTCCTTCTGATAGTAAACATTCATTCGGATAGTAATTATTCATTAGAAGAGTACTAACCTACTTAGAAGTTATCATCTTTACTTGTCTCTTCCTCATATTCCAGTGGAACAACATCAATCACAAAACCGATCTTCCTGAAAGACTCTATCACTACCTGGCAGATCTTGGCTGTCAGTCTGTCACCAACACTTGGTAAGGAGAAGCTGCAAACCCAGAATACATGCTCTGAACAACATCATCATCATCCAGGAGCTGCTGCTTTAAATCCTTCTGTGTGTCTGTGTTCCTCCTCAAAGGCATCTGTGTGGCAGAACCTGAGGAGATGGTCGTTTTTAAGAGCTTTTTCATTGACCTAAAGATACCTTACTCAGCTGTGCGCGGCGAACAACTGGAAATCAAGGCCATTATTCACAACTACACCCCAAAGAAGCAGAAGGTAGACCTGATTTGATATAAAAAAAAAAAAAATGGTGTAACCATTTATTCTTGAGTCAAATCATTTATGAACAGTGTTGTGCAAGTTACTCTGGAAATGTAATTAAATTATTGATTACCGATTATTCATTTTAAAAGTAACCATGTTACTGTTCTGATTACCGTATTGGCCCGAATATAAGACGACCCTGATTATAAGACGGACCCAAATTAACTGGAACTATACTCTAGGCCACTGGTTCCCAATCCTGGTCCTGGAGAACCCCCAACACTGCACATTTTAGATGTCTCCCTATTCAAACACACCTGATTCAACTAATCAGCTCATTAGTGAAGACTCCAAGAACTCAAATGTGTGTGTCAGATAAGAGAGACACCAAAACCGTGCAATGTTGGGGGTTCTCCAGGACAAGGATTGGGAACCACTGCTCTAGGCTAATTACTATTTTGGAAATTATAATACGTTAAATGACTCCATTACTAAAAAAAGTAATCAAATTACAGTAACGCGTTACTAAATATTGCATTACTGCCTTATGGATTGTATTAGCGACTGTACAATGCATTGATTACTGTTACGGTACCAATCACTTTAGAAGGCCGAATACCTAATTAATGTCCAGTGACCAGGAGAGGAGTAAAGAGCCAGAGTCATGAATTCGGATTCACTCAATGTATTGCTTAAGCAAACAGAAATGAACTGATTACTCACACTTGGAGAGCCAGTATACAAATACACATTCATATTAAATAAAACACAAACTGCGTAGGCCTGCGCAAACAATAAACAATCAATATAAAGAAACAGGATTCAAAGATACAGAGATTTTGTAGTGAGGTAATTCTCAGTTCTTTTACGTTTCAGGGAAACGTTTACTTGAAAGAAGGGAAAGGTGCAGACAGATGATTGGACTTGTTGTAATCTTCACACGGACTTAGATGCAGGTGTCCGTAGATATACATCCTTGTCTGTGTAGTGATGCACTGGATGTGTGATGTGCTGACAATACTTGTATACTTCGTGAGATTTGTGAAATGTGTGTGGTTCTATACAGTGGCGTAACTTTGCTTTGAAAAGTGGTGGGGACACCACGCAACTCGTTTTGCTAGTTTTTTATTTAACTTGAATATCCTAATTTACCTGGGGACTGGGTTTAGAGTTGGACAAACTTAATTTTTGCTTTTCAAAAATACATCGATGTACCAGGGGGGGACGCCAGAGAATTTTGAATGCAGGTGCTGAGGGGGTGCTAGATCTTTGACAGAGGGAGCTGGGCAATTCAAGGCTCCAGACTCATTCTTTCCACTGGTCGCTCTTTTGCGATTAACTTTCTCAGTTGGTTGCACAAGCAGTTTTTTTTTTTCCGCTACAACATGCTATTAATCAGATGCTAATATCCTTATCGTTCTTAGGGGGCTAACAAGCTTAAAGCCCCGTTCACACCGTGTATATATAGCCTAGTTTTTCTTTAGTTCCTTGTGAGATGTTGAATGTAGGCCTAATGGTTGTCTGTTTGCCAGTCATTCTGTTCTTTGTTCCCTTTGGTTTTTGGCTTTTGGCTTATTGTTTGTTCTAGTTTTTCCATTAAATACCTGCACATACATCCTTGCCTCTGCCTTTCCCCCCAGCTTCTCCACAACATTACAATTTTTCACTGGCAAATCTCTTTGACTAGTGCATTTTTTGAGCCTATATTTAGTACAAGTAAAATACTTAAGTACTGTTAAAATCAGATACTCTAAGGCTTTACTCAAGTTGTTTTGGAATTGGTGATTGGTTGTAACGTTTAGTGGAGTAATTTTCACTGTAAGGTATCTGTACTTTTACTCAAGTATGGTTTCTTAGGTACTCTTTACACCTCTGATTATTTGTGATTTGAATTTTGTGTACAGGAGTTCCTCTTGTTATAAGCCGGGCTTCGGATGCTTTCACTTTCGATTTCACGATCTTGTCAGGTTTTACAATAAAATATAATTGTCTGTTTTGCTTACATCTATACACCTTTTACCTTTTAAGACAAAAAATAAAAAAGACGGATTCATTATTTTTAATTAAAATGCACAACAACAATAAAACCGTAAGATGCAATGACAAACTAGCTTACAAAGCGTTATTAACAAAAACTAATAAGATGAGGCATGGCATAGGCCTACACGCTGTATTAGGCTATATAATGACTAATACAGTACAGAATGTTTAACAAACACAAAACCGAAACAGGTTATTATAATTTTTATATGAATAATAAAATAAATATAAGGAAAACTCGCCCACTCGATTTTGTAATGTTCTTTACTTTTGTAGTCCATATGAAAAGGTGCATTTCTATTAAAGGCAGGTCCATGTGGAGATGGCGAGTCCTCAGAAAGCAATAGTTTATTAATAAATAATTAAAATGTCTTCTTTTCCCCCGACACGTTCATAATCGCTTTGCCGGTGCTTTTGAGGCAATTGCTTTATGCGCGAGCTTGAGAGCGGAATAGGCTCTAGCCTAATACGTCTGCCTATAGCCTATATTGAAGTATGGTTAATATATTATTATATTAATCAATTTAATATAACGTGCAACTAGTTGACTAGAAGAATATTTAGTAGAGGGCAGGCCTACTTAGCACAAGGAAGCTCTCCATTTTTTAAATAAAATGCTATAGCCTAATGACATTACGAAAAAAGCGACAGCTGCAAATCACGTCGTTATTGCACTGCACGAGTTATGCATGCGTAAGGAGTCAAATGTTTTTTTTTTTTTTATCACCCTAATTAGATTATGAAAAATGATTTGTTGATCTTGTTTTCCCTTTAATACATACCTTCCGCAATATATTTTTCAATTACTTTCAAAAAGTGGTAGGGACAATATCGACCCTGGCAAAAAGTGGTGGGGACATGTCCCACCCGTCCCACCCGCAAATTACGCCTATGTTTCTATAATAAACAGATAAAGAGCAATTAGTTTCTAATGCAATCGGTGTAACTGGTGCCGAGTCATTATAACTTCACGTAGGCCTGTCTCAATAATCAATATATCGACTTATCGCACAATATATGTACATGACCTCAATCGTGGGCGACATTTGACTCTTGAGTCAGGGGGGGCAAGAAAAAAAAATATATATATACTGGGCTGCCGGGGAAGGCCGGCTGACAGCAGGAAAGACTGCACCATGGGTGGAGGGGCTAGTTACCCTATTCACACGTCTGCGAAGCAGGAAGCCACACAGACTCTCTACATAACTACAAGCAGATCAAAGAGGAAACAGCCCGGCGGTCCACCGAGAGGCGGGATGGAAGATGGACCAAACAGGACGGACAACATGGTAACGACTGGAATGAACAAGACAAGCAAAGATAGGTTTGCGAATCCACCAGGGGAAAGCAAAATGCTGCAACAACACCCAGGTGCAAGCTTGCACTGCAACAGCAGGTCAGACAAGGAGGAAAGGTAGCCAGGTTGAGCACCACAGTGCTACTGAGCCCACCATTGCACCTAGCGGAAAGGAGCAAGAGCAGCCCCCACAAGAGGAGTCGCATCAATTCATAACCCGCAGCTAGTTCTTTCCAATGCAACAGCGTGCAGGGAGCCTGCAAGACCCAGAGCTGAGATGCCAAGTCGGAAAGCCAAGATCAAATGGCCGAAAGCCAGTGAGAAGGATGAATGGAGAAGCTTCGACCAGAGCTTACAAACAATTCTTCAGAGCTCCCTGAGAGGCAGCATAATCGCAAAGTTAAACATCATCGGAGATATCATCTACAGCGAAGGCAGAGAAAGATTTGGAGAGCTGCAGCAGAGAAAAGCCCCTCCCAAACAGAGCGGGAGACGGGAGAAGGAGATCCTGCAGCTAGTAAAGGAACGTCGCTGCCTCCGAAAGTTGTGGAGAAAAGCAAAATATCACGAAAAGGAGGGCCTAAAGAACCTTTGGAACCAGATCAGAGATAGGCTTTCACATCTGAGGAGAGCAGAGAGGATCAGGAAACGAAGAAGCCGAAAGGAAAAAGCAAGGTCGAGCTTCCACCGGGACCCTTTTAAGTATGCCCGCAGCCTATTGGAAGAGAAAAAAACTGGGACACTGCATACTACCAAGCAGGAGCTGGAAAACTACATCAAAACCCAGAGCAGTGACAGCCTCCGAGAAAGTCCTCTCGGTTCACCAGGGTACATCCCTCAGCCTCCAGAGCCATCCTCACAGTTCGATACCATCACCCCGAAATGGTCTGAAGTCAACCAGGTTGTACAGCGATCAAGAGGCGCATCAGCAGCTGGACCAAACGGCGTTCCTTACAAAGTTTACAAGAACTGCCTCACAGTCCTGAAGCTGTTGTGGAGGCAGATGTGCGTTGCCTGGAAAACCAAAGCCATTCCTATAGCATGGTGCAGGGCAGTCACCGTATTCATCCCGAAAGAGAAAGACTCCTGCAACATCAGCCAATTCAGAGGCATTGCTTTGCTGAATGTGGAAGGGAAGATCTTTTTCTCGGTGATGGCAACACGCATGCCCAGTTACCTTCTAGCAAACAAATATATTGACACCAGTTGCCAGAAGGCAGGCATCCCAGGATTTCCAGGCTGCGTGGAGCACTCCGTTATGATTTGGGATCAGATTCAGACAGCCAAGCGTAATAAATCAGATCTCCATGTTCTGTGGTTAGATCTCGCAAATGCGTATGGGTCTGTCCCCCACCAGCTCATCAGGTTTGCCCTTAACTTCTTCCACATCCCACCATGTATTCAGAGCCTCATAACCAACTATTTTGACAAC